ATTCATACAACACCATTAACTAAACAAGGAGGATTAAGAATTGTCTTAAGACGGCGGAGTACCGCGTATAAACATGCGAGCAACGTTTCAACAAAAACAGCCAGGGGTGTAAAAATGTAAAAAAGGAAAGAGCACGGGAGTAAGCAAATTGAACGCAGGAACGGCTTACGGGCAGCGGCTCTAATTAAATTAGAATTCTTGTCGAGAAATACTTAAATTGGCCAGGCAGTCGGGTATTTTGCCGGACAAGTAGAGGATCCTCTGGGGTCCGGGGATGGAATAAGAAAAAGGGGATTGAAGAAAAGGCATTGCTCGTTATAAAACGAAATCATAAAAGTTTATACGGGCTTTCGCCATGCAACGACCGCAACTTTTACCTCAAGAAATCGCCTGCAAGGGCGGGCTACGAGCAATATTGGGTCTAGCTTACTTATTTATACGAGTCTTTTCCGTTTTCTTGCTATTTCCTCGACTTAACAGGACTAGAAACGTAGAGAACCCTATCGTAAAGTCGATGATCAAATTGTCCTCCTAAATGACCACGGGAAGGGAGTCCTACGTTCACCTTTACACTGTCCTAAACATGCCCTAGTCCCTAAACGAGGAAGAGTCCCTTCCGACTGCCTGAGTGTGGTTTTATAAGCGGTCCACGACAAATTTTTGTGGTTTATTACCTTTTACGACACTCTGTGTTCTTCCCGCTTCTTAAATTCACCTTCACTCGTAAAAGTTTGCCGAATTTCTCAAGCAGTTCTTGACGTTCGATGCGTACGTATAGCAAACGCAAAGCGTAGCAAATTCGACGCGTAGCTATGCTATGTGATTTTCTAACATCTGCTACGAAAATTTGCCGAAACACTTTGTGCAATGCCGATTCGATTCCGACAGGACTCCCGAACGATATGCGTCGTACCGTGATTCTAAGGGTGGCCACCCCTTGCGGGATCCGTTAATCCAACGAAAACACAGACTGCTCGACGAGGCTCGTCCTCGCGGCCAGAGGAAATCGCAGAGGAACGCGGCGCGTTGACAAATTGCCGGGCAACCGGTATGGTAATCCGATAATAGAGAGCGCAGGTTGATTCGGGACTAACGAGATTAATTATCTTGTTTGATCTTCTGACACTGGCCCCGTTAATGCAGTCGCGCCTGACTCCCAACCACTCCTCGTCGCTGCCTGCCTGTCCACTGACTTGTACTCGCTCGAGAGACGCTCGTTACTCTGCTCGGTGAGCTCGATGAAGTTGATTTGTCCTGATGCTGGCGTCTGCCTTCGGTCGCCTTTCTCTTCCTTTTTTCTTGTCCACGTGTCCCTTGATTGGACGAGAGTACAATGATTATTCGGATTTTGATGCTTCACGGAGTTGTTCGATTTTTTTTAGTAGATTTGCAGCGTCTGTTCTATGTTGTCTGTAAAAGAATTCTTGGATCGTTGCACCTTCGTTCGGGAGGTTTATTAAATTGTTATTAGAGGGTATGAACTAGCGATAAGTATTAAACGGTTGAAAAATAAGCGAATGAAGAGATTAAAGAGCTCGACCCAGTTGCATGGAACGTGGCTGCTCATTCTCCGCTGCCTACATACGTATATCCGTATACACACGAAGAAACTGTCGATAATTGGAGGTCGACGGAACGCAAAAACGTTCGGTTCGTGTTCGGTGTTCTCCTCGCGCGAAGCCAGGCATCGATCGTCGCGTTCCCCGTAACAGCGAGCGGTTCCTGCTGATTTAGCAGCGGCCGCCTGAAAATCGGTGGTTTCCGCGAAACGATGCGCCTTTTCACCGGCTCCCGTTCGCAATCGGTCAAACAACCGTGTGTGTGCGTGCTCCCGCGTTCGCCGGGAAATATGTTTGCAACACGCGTGCACCCGTTTCCTGGGTGCAGACTCACACGCGTACGCGGCCAGGGCGCAGCTACTCTTTAATCCGCGACTAGTCAGCTAGCGCGTTCGTTCGTGACGGATCGATAACCGATAACGAGGTCGAAGCATTGCCATGCAAAACAGCTCGTTAGGCGTCTCCTGAGGTCTCGCGGCCGGGTGCTCGTTCTTATCTTCGAAAGACGCCTCGAGATCTTGGCGCCTTTTTCTCAGATCCTCCGACGAAGGCATCCGAGAACGAGGACGAGACCCTCCAGAGACAGCGGGCTTATTATTCCCGCGGTCTCCTTCGAGAGGCCCCACCTCCTCGAGGATCTCGTGTAATCCTCGACACGTTTCGCGGAAACGGAACGATCGAGGCAATTAGTGGCTGGATTCCCTTTCGATCCTGGACACACCGTCCACGGAGTAGTTTTCAAGCGGCTCGAATAAAACGATCCTCTGAAACGAGGGAATGGTTCCTTTCGTCGCGGTGACTTTTAATGATTGTCCACCGCTTTGGTTACCTCCGATCTACGTAATAAGAGACGGTTGTCGAGTCCGCAATTAGGATCATTTCGTTTGACGGGAGATACAACGCGACTCTTCCCTTCTTTCGATAGACCGTGCCCTTCTATAAGCTGCGCTCAACGAGACGATTACGAGCATCAAAAGAATTAGCGTTACGTGTCCGCTTCTTACGAGTTCTTTCTATTCGAACTTCTGTTCCTCGAGCAGCTTCTGCGAAAATTTTAAACAAGCTTCCGAATTAACGTTCGACAACGAAGATCGCGAACTCGTAGCAGATGTAAACCTTCGCTCGCTCGCTCGAAGCAGTCTCTTTCGCATGCGTGGTGACTGCGGTCGGTGCGTTGTTAGGCAACTTCACCGGTTGAATCGGAGGCCGAAGGTGCGGGAAGATACGGGGGCAGGGTGGTTACTAATTGTCCAAGCCCTTCACCCCGCGAGAGAGCCCCCTCATCAACGCTGATTGCCTAACTCTAGGACCCTCGAGCTTTGTCCTCACGATCCTGCAACCGGGAGGAGGATCCTCTGACGTGTCGACACGCCGAGATCGTAATACTTTATCCCTCGTATTTACCGTTTAATAACCTTTGATATTCTTTCCGACGAGGTCCTACGAATTGTTTGCCACCGATCGAGCTGACTTTTACTTAATCCTTGAGCCGTGTGATCAACCTTCGTAGGAAAACTGTTTCACAAGAAAGATCTAGCTTAGCGTATTGAACTTTTCGAATGGAATTTTTAAGCAAATAGATACGGTAACACAAGACCCGTTTTTTCAGTAAAAATTGACGAGGTCAGCAAGTTCGGGAGGCGAGTTAAGAGAGTCAAACATCAAGGTTGAAAAATCGCGAGGCAGGAAAGTCCATTGAACAAAGTCGATTATTCCGGCAGTGATTCCGGCGCTGATTTTTTCCTCTCCTCTCCTCTCCGCTGTTGGCTGACTCAATTATTCGTCGCGATTCTTTGGGCAAACATTAGTTAGCACCGACTGGCTCGTGTTCACGGATTGCCTCCGATCGGTTTGGCCTCGGTTCGTGCGGCGACCCTTCATGGTTGCTTGGTTCCGTTGTCTACTCGTCAACGAACAGCCCTACGGCTACGGGGTGTTAACGCGGTTCTCATTTTCCTCTCTCTCTCTTTCGAATCCCATACAATCTTTCTAGTCTTTTCTTCGTCTTCAAATACTTGCTTTTACATAATATCATCTCTAACTCGATGCATCGGAAATCATGTAACTTTTATAAATAAACGAAGAATGGAAAGCTTAACAAAAATATTTGCTGCTTATTAGCATAACGATAGGGTAACGATTATAATATTTAATGAAGGAATCGCGACCATCGAATTCGAAGGCAAACGTTACACGTTCACCACGTGATCATTCTGTACCTCGACAAGAGTTAGTAATTTCTGCAGCTCGAAACAAGAAAGCTGAAATCCGTCATTTTGACGGTCGTCGATCGGAGCTGTCCCCGTCGTCGCTTTTTAATATTCATTCTATTTTCCCGAGGCATTCGTTATCAGAGTCGATAACTCTGGTGCTCGCTTTTCACGGGAATTCCGATGGTTTTCTTCGGGACACGCGTCAAGTATTATATTCCCATGGGGCGAGAATTGAGTTATACCGTGTCACCGGGATTAACTGTCCTCGACTTCCATGCACCAGCTTGACAAACGTATCCGGCAACGATCGAACGAAAACGAAAACAACCGGCGGTTTAAAAAAAAGAGTCCCTTGTCCTAGGTTATGTTTCACAGTGACATAGTAGCGGCAATGGAGGCTTCGCCTATCGTAACACGATATCCGCTGGAAACGTCGAATTTGAAGAATTTCTCGTCGCGTTTTCCAACGAAAATCACTGCTGTCCCGAATTTTACAACGACATCCCACCTTCCCCCCTGCGTTGTTAAAAAATACACGGTATCGTCGTTGATCTTCGTTTTTGTTCGAGCTATTACTTTTTTAGCAAAATAACGCGTTAAACCTAACTTTCGAGAGAGAATTAAAGGTGAATCGAGTCACGAATAAAAATGGTGGTCGATACGTGCGGCAATTTTCCTTCGTCGGAAAAAAGTGGTAGAATAAAATCGGGGAACATAAAGAAAAGATCGAAGAAATCCTTTCCGATGAGTTCAGTAATAAAGGGAATGAGAAACACTGTCGTTCTGCTGGCCTATCGGTACTAATACAGATCTCACGCACTCCCCTCGATATAAACCATTCTCTTCCCTCGTGTTCGCCGTATGGGAACCCATACGTGCACACGCAGGAACCTCGAACGACCGCGGCGGAACGGCCATTCAGATTTAAATCGCGACAAAAAAAATATGGCATCCCCTTGCAGCGGCACGAAGCGACGCGGTTCGGTCTCTTTCACGCTCGTTCTGCTCCTTCGTTTCTAACGCGCGCAAGACCGATCCGTGTACGTTCCTTTTCATCTACAGTGAATCCGGTGACCGAGAAAGCGATAAACGGAATCGTGTTAATGGGTCGTTCGAATGGGGAACCGGTTAACACCTAGAGTTCCTAGCGTTGATTTTTTCATCAGGGAGATTCGGGTAGAAGAAGAATAATCAGTCAGGATTTAAATTTTCGCATCGATTTCGTTTTTATTCGTCTCGTTGCGTATCTATATAATAACATCTGTGTTTATACATTAAATTAGATCTCTGGCTTATAAATAATATCAATATCTCTGTCTTTTAATCTCTCTTTACTCGAACATACGCACACGCACACACACTCGTTCCTATACACAACGAAGTGTACATATAATATCTTTCTTCTCTATATTATTGTCCACGAACTATCTACACGTATATATACAAACTGTCCATCTATATTTACAATAATTAACCGTACGCGAATGTACACACGGATCGAGCGATCGAACATGACCAGCGAACGATCGATCGTCGCGAAGTTACTGTACGAAATCGTATCAGGTAACCATGGTTTAGAAATCGTCCTCGTAAAACCGAGAACGACCTGTCGTTGTCGTTCATTCCTGCCATTGAAACGACACGGACGAAATCAACGAAGAGAACTCGTCCTCTGTTGCCTCCGTTTAACGTCGGCCAACCTCTCCACCGGACACGGAGACTATACAATCCACCGACAACGTCTAAGAAATCACTAGCCTTCCAGCGAGAATTGTATCCTCGTTTCACCGAGCGCTCCTCACCCTGTCGTTTTAATAAGGCCTCCAAACCGCTTTGGCCGGCAGCGGCGACGAGATCTTGGTCGGCGATGGAGTTCTGTTCGGCGACACTGGCATCTTCAATTTGTTCCTCGTGCCCTCGACGGGTTTTTTCGGCACGATTCTCTCCGGTGACGAGGAGGACGCGGTGATCACCGACGTGGTGGGCGGCAGGGTGTTCAATCTGATGGGCACGAACGCGCTGCGGATCTCGTCCGAGTTCGATTCGCTTCCAAACTCGCTGGGACTCTTCGGGGGTGTCCTCGACGGACTGTTCGGTATGGTTGCCGGCGTGCTGCTGGTCGTGGTGGCGTTGATTTTTTCATCAGGGAGATTCGGGTAGAAGAAGAATAATCAGTCAGGATTTAAATTTTCGCATCGATTTCGTTTTTATTCGTCTCGTTGCGTATCTATATAATAACATCTGTGTTTATACATTAAATTAGATCTCTGGCTTATAAATAATATCAATATCTCTGTCTTTTAATCTCTCTTTACTCGAACATACGCACACGCACACACACTCGTTCCTATACACAACGAAGTGTACATATAATATCTTTCTTCTCTATATTATTGTCCACGAACTATCTACACGTATATATACAAACTGTCCATCTATATTTACAATAATTAACCGTACGCGAATGTACACACGGATCGAGCGATCGAACATGACCAGCGAACGATCGATCGTCGCGAAGTTACTGTACGAAATCGTATCAGGTAACCATGGTTTAGAAATCGTCCTCGTAAAACCGAGAACGACCTGTCGTTGTCGTTCATTCCTGCCATTGAAACGACACGGACGAAATCAACGAAGAGAACTCGTCCTCTGTTGCCTCCGTTTAACGTCGGCCAACCTCTCCACCGGACACGGAGACTATACAATCCACCGACAACGTCTAAGAAATCACTAGCCTTCCAGCGAGAATTGTATCCTCGTTTCACCGAGCGCTCCTCACCCTGTCGTTTTAATAAGGCCTCCAAACCGCTTTGGCCGGCAGCGGCGACGAGATCTTGGTCGGCGATGGAGTTCTGTTCGGCGACACTGGCATCTTCAATTTGTTCCTCGTGCCCTCGACGGGTTTTTTCGGCACGATTCTCTCCGGTGACGAGGAGGACGCGGTGATCACCGACGTGGTGGGCGGCAGGGTGTTCAATCTGATGGGCACGAACGCGCTGCGGATCTCGTCCGAGTTCGATTCGCTTCCAAACTCGCTGGGACTCTTCGGGGGTGTCCTCGACGGACTGTTCGGTATGGTTGCCGGCGTGCTGCTGGTCGTGGTGGTTTTTGGAGACAGGGTCGCGAATTCCGTCGGGTATTTCACCGGCTCGAACGGGTACGAAGGCAGAACCGTTTGAGGGAACGTCGCCGGGAACAAATCCGTCGGTGGCATGAGAATGGATCCTGCAGAAACAGAAAATTGCTCGATTAAGTTTCGGTGTACAAGACCGACTAGGTTCGATATTGGCACTCTGATTTCGGTGATTAACGACGTAGCTCTGTGATCAACATGTTGTACGCGTATTGTATCGATAAACATGATTCGTCGCGAATGAACGAATCTTTCGTTGAACATGGGTGAAAACGATTGTTAACGTCGGCAATTTAACGAGGAAACGTCAACCCTTTAACTACCGTGTAGTCGGTTCTCGAGTAGAAAGGGTGAAAGTAGAATAACCCTGCTACCTTATCGCGAGCCCTGCTAATCGTTTTACGCGATGTCTGAGGATAGAAAAATAGGTGCACGTTGACAGCTACAGGGTGAAATGATCACGTCGTTAACGTAGCGACACTTGTCGCTCTAGCTGGCAGGGCCTGACAACGCGATTTCCGAGATGCTGCGTCGAAACAGAGGAGACGAAGGAGTAGGAGGAGAATCGGTGGGCGAAAGGGGAGCCAAGTCGTATTGTTGTTGCGAAGCCGAGGCAGGGTTGGTCGGATGGGGGTCGTAGGGGTCCGTTGTGGGAAAAGGGAGCTCAGGCTCACCCCTCGGTCCAGCCACGGGGTATGAATCATCGCCGGGCGTCGCGGACTCTGGCGAAATCGATAACGCGCGGACTCGCTCGTGTGTCCTGTTTCTCGAGGGCTTTTTTCTAGCTGGAACCACCGTCGTTTCGAACAGCGGGAGCCGATCTCGATTCTTTGGTCGCGGACTGGCTTGCCACGTGCATTGTTGGCCTTTGATTGATTGCGAGCGGGACTAGGGTGAAGGGCTCTGGATGGGAGCGATTAGGTGCACTCTGCCAGGCTGTTTTGATCATCGAAAGATACTCTCGGTTGGACGCGTTTTTACTACGGTTCGATTTGTCGAAATTTCACGAGCAATTGTTTAATCTTTCGCGATATTCGAAGATTTACGCGATCAGAAAATGCCAATACGTAAAGAATTGTAACAATTATTTCGGGTAAGATTATATTGCGATTGATTGACTAGGGAATCGATAAAACATGAAAGTCGAACTTACCTTCGACGAAACCAGGATAACGAAGATGCCACGCAGAACCAAGGTACGCAACGTCTCCCCAGGGGTTGTTGAGCAATCTCAGTCCAGGGAATCCGTGTCCATAGTGATAATCTGTAACAACGAGAATCGATATTCTTCAACATGATCGAGCGTTTGGTCGTTGAAAATAGCTTCAAAGCTTATTTCCTCTATAAATAAATCCCACGATCAAGGTTTCCCTGAGCGACTTCCCAGCTTCTCGATCTCGATCGATAAAATAAATCTGTAACGGAACAGAAACTGGCGAACGTCGAACGAACTAGCGAAGAGTAGCGGCGGGCAAATAATAAAAAAAAGAGAGAAAAAACGAAGACGCGGGGTAACGCAGGATCCATCCCATAAAACGCGGATTAACGACGCTCTCCGGAGGCGAGCTAGCGATCTCTGTTTACAAAATCGCCGCGTTCAGACGACGGTTATTCTCCTCGTAGCGAGCCACATGCTACCGCCATATGCGGCGCGATAAACAAACGCATAAACGCGGCTCCTTTGCAGACGACGTTGATGGTCGTTCCATACCTCCCGCGGCTTTCGGTCCAGCTCTTTTGGCCGACCGAATGCCGCCCAATAAACACGCGGACTTTTACGCTTCTCCGGACCAATCGGGCCTCGTTTCTCGCGAAAATAAGCGAGCGCGTTAAAGGACGCCGATCGCGGCTTGAAACGATGCCAAAGCTTTCCTCGACTGATCCACCTACGCGTTCTGATCTAACCGTGGCTGTGTGAGGTTATGGAGTGCGTGTGCGCCCGCGCACACCTAACAACCCTTATGCACGTGCACGTGGATAACGACTGAGAGGAGTCCTACGACCGCCTCGCGGCTCGCGGTTTGAGGTACACCGGCGGATTATTAAACGCCTACGAGAGGATCCGACACCGGTTTGCGGATTCCTCCTTGCCCACTCGGATTTCACCGATGTTCGCTCGTTTCGCACATTTTCGTTTCTGATCACATAATAATTCACCAAGGACTTTGTAGTCGAAGAAACTTGAGATTTAATCGGATGGAAAAATGTGAGGTCTGAAAATTTAGCTAGACACGCGATAAGTAGACGGGTAGGGAAATTATTCCAAGCTCAGAAGAAATTGACTGTTAGATTCGTTAGACTTTGGGAATACTTGCAACGAGTTTGATAATTAGACTGACGAGACGAGGAAGAAATAATCAGGAGTTTCATCGAATTAGAAAATTCGCAACGATAGGAGATTTAGCAAAATCCCCTAAGATGATCACGAATCGAAGGAACTTACTCGACTTGGACCTCGGTTCTCTTGGGCCGTCCACTGTAACCTTGATGGCCTTGGTGTAGGTAGCTACTTGCAGAGGTATGGCGTTGATCTGGATGGTCAGCGAGAACAACTTTCCTGTAACCAGGCAAAAATCGCTGGATTATTATCCAAGAATACGGCGGGAACGTCGGATAACGTTGAATTTTGAACGGTGTAAAGAGCAAGAGTCCATCGGACACTGACCTCTACCACTGCGGCCAACGAATCGCAGATCGTTGAACTTGGCGACTTGATTCTTCATGACCGCCGTACAGTTCTTCAATTCGCCGCAGCAGTTCTCGTCGTTTCCGGCTCGGATGGTGACGACGGTGCCGTCGCTGACCTCGTCGAGGGCGACGACCTTGAAAGCCACAGGAAGCGCCTTGTTCGACCTCCAGTGCGATGGCAACGCGCTGCAAAGGATGGCGGGACTTCCGGTCTGCACCAAATCACGGGACTGTAGAGTCTCGCTGTCAATTGCCAACGGTCCTTCCGGTAGATGCATCGTTCAAGCACGTTGCAATCTTTTTACTCAGAATTGCAACGATCGAGTCCAAGAACGATAATCCTGAATAGCACAACAAGCTGCTGGTATCCTTGGAACAACACTTTGGGTGAAAGTTCGATCACCGATGTTCGTGTCTATAGTTCACTCCGCTCGATACATTAGATCGAACGATTAAAAAACACTGAATATAAAAAGAAAAAATGCGCGCTGTTCGTGTAAGAAGTACGGGTTCCCGAAATCACTGGCGGCCCGCTGGAATACTAAAAAACAAACGACTGGCGAAAAGTTTTTACGGATCGAACCGACGCGCACTCGATGCCGGCTGAGCGGATTCTAGTTTTTCGCGGCCGCAGCCGCAGCTATTTAGAGGGGATTTTTCTCCCCTCCAATTTTTCCGGAGCCCCACCCAGGGCAAGCGCGTCGACCAATGAGGACGGCGGTCGTGTTGTGGCCTCCGCGGCTCGCCGCCTTCGCCCCTAACCAGGCTTAGGGGGTGCCTTGCGAAAGGGGCTGCCAGCCTGCTGCCTCTGGCTTGCCAAGGGTGGCTTGTGCCTACGCTCTTCCTTATCGTTTTCCGTCTATCTATCCTCTCTCGTCGCGCCTCTGTCCCTCTCTTCTCGCGTCTCTTTCCCTCGTTGGTTCTCGCCACCCTCTTTCTCGCCCTTTTCGCGCGTTTCTTCGTCCGTTCGGTGCCCGTTGCGCTCTCCCTCTTTCTCAGCCACGCGAGTACAACTCGGTTTTCCTTCTGTTTCGGTCTTCTTTGCTGCTCTACCTTGCCAGCCACGCCACGCTTACGCCGCGACGTAAATTTTCACGCGCACGTGTTCCGTCCACCCCACCCTCGCGAGCATCCACGCTCCTCCACTCGAAGCTACACGCTTCTCTTACCGGATCCTTTTCGCGCCATCAAGGAGCACGCGGATCCTCCCGCCTTCGCGGACATTCCTTTCGCTATTTTATTAATTGCGACGGATATATGGTATGCGAATGTACAGGGTGTCCTACTAGTCGTCGAACGATCAAGTCAGGATGATTTTCTTAGAAAAAAAATGTGGGCTCGTTATGCGAAACTTTGGGTACAACGAGGTCGTAAATCGAAACATCCAGGTAGTCGTGTTCAAAATCGACGGCAATTCAACAAATGTTTTATTTACGTTGATTACAGAACTTTTGTTTCGACGTAAAATAATTGTATGCCTGACAAATTTCACAACCGTATGTACGGTGAACACAATTCGTTCGCGTAACTGATTCGGCAAATTAAAAGTATAACCGAATAAAAAATTGTTGTTCGTAGCCCGCCTCTTTTTTGGTTATATCCGATTGCCATGTACAATCGAATGGTTAATTAGTACGCCGCGGTAGAAGAGGGAGAGAACGAAAAATAAAAGCAACAGATCTCGTTAAACCCCTTTTTCCTGTTTGGGAGCAATGTGGCAGACGTAAAGGGGTAGCAGAGTGCAAGAGTGCGAGTGCAATTTCGTTGTAAATCTTGCAGGAAAGCCACCGTGAACGACACGCTGACCCAGAAAGTCAAAGGGTTGGGATTCCGTCAAGATCGATTCGAATTTCCTGCACGGCCAACGCGAACGCTTTACGACCTGTCCTTTTCGAGTTTCCGCCAAAAGGGCTGAATTGGCGCATCTCTTTTGCGCGAAAATCGGTGAAATGAGCCTTGACACCCTAATAAATCTCTTGCACTTCTACTCTACGACCCGGACGCTCCCATCCAAGGTATACAAAGATACCGCGTCGATTGCTGTCCAAATATTGAGGCCCGTTCTACCGGTCGTACGCTTTTCGCCTTACAAATCTTACCATTCGGTTTTCGACAAAAATTATGTCCTTTAGTTTCTTCCTGTCGCGTATTATCAATAATAAAACGAAACGCTTGTGACCGTGGTATTCATTGTTAGAAAACTCATTTTTATTACCCCTAATGGGCTAATAGTCGCAGGTAATTAATTCCGAGGAGGGTTTTAAACTCTATTGACTGTCTTAATTATTTCATTGTAACAAGGGTTTCTTTGTCGAACTACAACAAATTTCTAAGCGAAAAAAATATTTCTATAGTGTAGAACGTTCGAAATACCTAGGCTAGTATAAAGTATAGCTGTTACCGTGAAAGACCGAAATCTGGTGAATGTCGACATTCACATAGTCGCTTGGTGTGTGTCCGAAATATTTGCTAAATACCCTTATTTCTGACTTACACCGGTAAATATCGACATTCACCATGCACTAATGGTGAACGTTGAACATGTCGGAGATTTATATTTTCTTCTCCGTAATTCAGTCGCTATAAAACGTCACAAGGTTGACGTAACTTTTTCGCCTCTCTTTCTGAGAGGAGAGACCAAGAATTTAAAACACATAGTACATTCTAAGCATACGTGTTCTTCCTCCGTGGCCTATTCTGGCTCGAGTTTCATATAGTATACTGAACAATTTTTCATTGGTAACATAATACTGTATATTCGTTTCCCCTGATTTTAATGGTACAATTAATTTCCTTTCATCATTAATTTTTAAAACGTCAAAACGTTTTAATCGTCCGTAATCCAAAGGTGTGTCGCACTTAGTTTTAGCAGAAACCACTTCAGAAAGTATTTTAGAGTACATTTCTTGAGAAAAATAAAAACAATTGTCTTCTCGTTTACCCGCAATTAATGCATTTAACTTTTCAAGAAAAAGATCACGATTTACTGCAGTATCCATTCAGTATAAATTACGGTATTGGAAAAAAAATTAAGAAAACGTTGCTCGCATTATCAAAGCTTGCATAAGATTGACAAAACTGACTGACTCCACGCAGAACACAGGATTTGGCGGGAGAGCCAGTCGCTTCTTTGTCGGCTCCTCTCTTTTGGACCTCCACCAGAGCATATCTGTGATTGTCGACATACACCGGCGAAGGTCCGAATGTACAAGAATGTAATAAAATATTCGGTCTTTCACCGACGTATTTGGTATATGTCGACATTCACCAGTAATGACATTCACCAGTGGTGACATTCTCTAAATTTCAGTCTTTCACGGTAACATATCTACAGTGTAAAGATGACTGTCGAAAAATTGAATCATCGCGATTAGGGTAAAGGCCCCCTTCCGAGAGATTTATGCAAACGTCTGTCCAAATATTGTGAAGCAGGACGATTTACACCGAGTAAATCCGTCAAAGCGAATAAATTTGTCAGGAGTTAATTCAACGCTTACCGCAGGATTATCCAGACTTAACGAGGTCGTGATTTCAGAATTTATACCATCTTCTGTCGCTTGGATTAGCCGGATTATGGCTGACTCGTGTTTCAAAAAATAATTTAGAATCATTATTAAACCTTAAAATTCCCTTAACTTTCTTACATATTGTTTTACTACGAACCTACGCACAATGAAGTATTAATTAATAAATATTATTGAATAAAGAAAGTAAAATTTCAGGTAGTTAAAATTTGGAACATCCTACAGCGGTTCAAAATAGAAAGCGTTCGGGTATAAAGCAATATAAATTAAGGCTGCAGTTTAAATGAACTTAATCGAGCTTGTACATATTTATGCTTCGATTGAAATTTTTGAAAAGAAGAATCATCGATATTGTGAAATTTTCCGATATACAGAGGGCTTAAATTGATAGCAGGAATTACTTTCCATGGTAAAAGAGTATAGCCGTCGGTAGCACCCTTGGCTAAATAGAGGTCACGATCTATAAAGGCCCAGTTTCGGAACTTTTACTACCGATCTTCGCAGCCGACCCTAAGGTTGGCTAATTTCTAAGTAAAAGTACGTAGAAAGGTTCCCTTCAATTTCCTTCGCTTTCACGCGTTTAGAACCTTCGTGTCCTTGAACGTTTACTTCGGTGTCCGATTCTTTCGGTGGATTAGTACCAGATTAACCCCATTTTTTCCACCTTCTGCGTTATTTTTTTGCCTTCGTCGCATCTGCGACGATCGGGAACTAGGTAATCCAACACCGGTCCGATCCTTTCGATTGTCCCATTTTTCTTTTGAATCCAGGAAAAAGGTGATATAAAAATTCTCGTTACATCGCCGTGTCGATATTGCGAATAAGAACGATAGAGCACATCGCAATAAGACTTTACATTTCGTATGACGATTCGAGGGAGATATTTAGAATTTTTGGAAAAGTTGGAAAATCCCATTTAATATTTTAGCAAGCTTTTGAAAGACACTCGCTGCAATATACCGCTGACAGGAGGAGGTATGTGGATTGTCTGTCGGGTTGATTGTTCGTCCGTCGATTCACGGTGCAATTAATTAATAGTAGAGAGAAAGAGAGTGGAGAAAATAAAAGGTGTCGCGTGGAGTGGCATTTCGCGTAACAAGGCAACGCGTACGACTAATTTCTTAAAACGTGCCTGCATGTTGGGCATCCGTTTCCTCGCCAGTGACCAGCAAAAGGTAGCAGCCTTTTTTAATAAAGCCTAGTGCCTCGCCTGGACAAAGACAATGACTTGCATGCATCAGCGACGCCACGGTTAGACGAATATGAATAAAAGCGAGAAAAGACGCACGGCCAATGCAGACAGGGACGTCGTTTGATCTCTTCGTTTGGTCGGCTACGTTGCTTCCAGATTCCAGCGAAAAAACTCATCTCTGTGTGTATATTTTCGCCGGTGGATCAACTCGACGATTATACTGCAAGTGCAGAAAATGCTCCGAGTAAAAGACTGGATTACGAATGTCACCGGCTAGCCGTGGCATTTAAACGTTACTTTGACCAGCAACCTAGTTGCCTCTGTTTTCTATCTGCATGGCTCGCCTTTTAATCGCCTCTCAGAGCTTCGTTATACCCTGCATGTTTTAATATGGAATGTTCCTTTGGCCGCACCTGGAAACCGTGAATAAACGCTTCTCTTTCATCAAATTCCCGGCGATCGTAAAGTCCCCAAAATAGCAGTGACGTGTTACCTTTGGCACCTCGTGAATTGGCACACGAAGTTATCAATTTTCAAATACACAATTCTCCAGGTTTTGGTCGTTTGGAATCTTTATAAGTAGAAGAATTGTGTAAATCGGTGCGGTAAGACCGCAGAAGAAAATGTAACATAAAAGGGAAGAGTGGGCAGTTTGGAGGCAATTGTTGGCAAGCTGGCCACGAGAAACTTGTTGCTCGGTGCGCGAACGAGGAAGGGCACGATTAAACGTATCGTCGTCCCTGGCTGGCGCGAGACAGCCACGAAATCGCCGCGTTTCGGATGCGAACAGAAGAGAAGAGTGCGAGGGTGTGTTTCGACGTCGGTGGATGGAGAACGAGGCACGAAAAGGGGCGATGGTTCAGGAAGGGGA